AAAACCTTGCCATGCAAACCCAACACACCTGGTATAGATATTGGGCTCACTGGTAGATTGCTCCCACATCTCCCTGTAACTCCACTGCCATGGCAGCTTTCAGCAAGAAGTCACACTCAGCTACTGGCTCAGCCACTTCACCCTTAAGTTCCTTTACATCTCCTGGCTGATGCAGTCCAGATCATGAAACGAAAAGCAGCAACGCAGATTTTATCTGCAACCCTTCCCATGTGAATGTGAGACCGACCCTCTGGTGGACCCCCTATAGAGAAGGATCCTGAGGCCAGTCCTTTCCAAGACCCTCTACTGATGCAAAGCAACACAGATGCAGAAACACATTTAGCTTTTCTGTCACTGCATCGGTCACTCTAAGGCATCCTTTACGCTGCAGTTAGCTAACAGATGCTTTGGCAAGCATCCTCATCCACACATTTGAAGAAGAATTACGAGTCTTTCATGCTTTTTGCCAGCGGTTCCTCAAGGTCTTTTTCTGCCCTGCCTGGTTGCGCTTACACGTAACCTCTCAGAGTTCATCAGTGTTCCCTTTTCTGTCATTTGGATACGGTAACTTTGTGCAGACAGAAGAAACCACTATTAGCGGCTTCTGTACTATGGTGCTTAGCTGTTCATGTCCTTTTGCAAGTCTGTTCTGGCAGAGAGCATACATTAACTCTGAGCTCTGAACCCCCAATGTGGTGTCTTTAAAGGAAACTCTCTGCAGGTAGAGGGAGATGATTTACTTTTCCTTTTATTTTTAAAAAGGCTTCCCATTTTATGCAATTCCCCTTTTCAAAACAGTGCACAACTGCAGAAGATTTCTCGGCTTGTGTTGCTCCTACAGGCATGCTAAATCTAAACAAGTAAGAGTTCTAAATGATATCTAAACAATAAGACTGCAAAACAGGCTCAGCAGGCGGCTAAGCAACACACAGAGAGGTGTCTCTCATCTCCTGGGTTCCCTGACAAGCTGCTCTGGGCAGTCACCGACAGCGCCCAAACACTTGGTTTTGGTATCATGTCTGAATATGACATTTACCCAGCTTGCATGGGAGTAACCACCACCATGCTTCCCATTCCTACTTCTCTGCAAAAGCTCGCTCTGATTTTTTGTATTGCTTAAAAGTAAGGGTGATCCCCCTGGCATCCACACAGTTCCTTGGACAGAAGCAGCAGGGAGGGAAGGAGCAGAATTAGAGGTTATGCATTCATTCTTACAACACAGTTTTTGGTTCTTACCTGCAAACGCCATAATTTTCACTATTTGACCATCCTCAATTTTGTGATTCAAAATCCTTTGCTGTTCATGGGTCAGTTTTACTTCAGGCCAGCTATTAAAACTAGAAAAAAAACAGAGCAAAAAAGGAATTAAGAAAACATATCCTCCCACATAAAACAAACAAATGAACTAACAGCAGGATACCAATGAATGACTGATCCCATCCCACATGCAGGAAGGTGGCACTAGAGCAATTTCGTTATGGTGCAAATGAGAGGAGCGGGGAATAAGAAAAAACTGGAGCCAGCAAAAATAAAAAAGTAAACCTTGGGAAAGGTTACACAGGAAAAGATCTTCTCAAGGGCCCTAAGCCATGATTTAAAAATGAATTTGGCACCCCAGCTCCTTAGGCTTACTGAAAACAAACAGCAACTTCAGTTCGGGGTGCTTTGTTGCTTTTGGGACCATGTACCTTAAATTGCTCTCCGACTTCTCAGCATGTAGGACAGATCAATTATCCCTGCCTCTCAGGGGAGCTGAGAGCTTTGATTAACATTAAGAAAGGCATTCAGCGCTTCCAACAATTGTTTTATTCATAATGGTCTGAAGCCTGCAATTGGCCAAGAGTGTGAACCATCTCTTCGCACAGGGTCCTCCCCAATACCACGCGTAAGGGCAGAAAGCCCTGTTTAAGTATCCTTGACATCTCACAGCTGGCAGTTAGATGGCTGCCCCCAGGACGCATCTTTCACTGATTAAGCAAAATCTGCTTAGAAAAAGACTTCAAATGGAAGGGTAGAATGAAAGGGTTGGGAAAACCAGAAGCACTGAAACCCAATATCTGTTTACCTTCGATTTATTTTTTTTGTAATGACCTCTCTCACTGTTGTACCTTGGATCATCAGTGATTTTATTGGATTTATCTTTGCTAGACCCCTGTGATGGATGAAAGCACTACTATTCCTTTTCTGTAGGTAAGGACAAGGAAACTAAATGAGTCAACCCAGGGTAACTGCAGCACAAGGGGAAGCAAGCCTGGACCTCCACAGGCCAGGAAAGCATTTCACTCCTTACTGTCCTCCCTTTCTAGGCAGCAAGCTACCAACCAATGCTAATTTACAACAGAGAGATATATATCGCTCTCTCCTGTGGCTGGTATATCGTTTCCTCCTGTGCACAGAAAGCAGTATTCATAAATGAACAGCCACGTTATTTGTGCTACAGTAACATCACCAGGAAGCTAACCCCTGTTTTGGCTGACCGCAGCTTGCATTTCTAGAGGAACACGCTGTTAAAATTAAAGCAGGCACTCTCCCCTCCTTCCAGAGCTCCTTATCCATAGGGAGAGTTGGGAAGGTATTTTGAGGTGATTTGCACTCTGTGAAATTTCAGTGGCCATCACATTGGAGCACACGGAACCGTGTTCGATCGATACACAGACCCATCAGTGAGTAATGACTTTTGAATTCAGTCAGTGCTTGGTAATTCAATATTTACAGATTTAAGGCCTGATTCTGGTTTTCCCAGAGAAGATGGCAAGGAGCAGAATAAGGTTTTGTACTAATCCTTACGAATTTCAGAGTCTGGTCAATCAGGCCCTGCCATGAAACATTTGCTCCCCCTCCATGGTTCACCACTCCACCAGGGCCCTGCATACTTAGGCGCATTGCTCGGATCACCTATAAGAGCATTACCCGGACCACAAGTCTTGTCTGCAGCATGAAGCCAGTGTTTCCTCTTCTACTGTCTGCATAGTTAAAGAAGCATTTTCCATCAGGTACAAGCAGTAGAAAATATTGTAATGGATCCTGGTAGAAAGGATAAAAGAGAAACTGTCATTGAGAAATCATCAGTAACAGATTAAATGTCTGCAGCCACCTAAAAGACCGCCAATATCTTGAATACTTCCAAAAGAACGATGCGCAAAGCCTCAAGTGCTCAGGGCATTGCAAGGGACAATATTAATATTTTAAAGTGCAGTTAGTTCTGCCTTGAAAAGTGACTGCAAAGGTACCACGGGGACAGCTCTGTTTGTGGCCTCTGCCTCACTCCTGCTAGGTTTGTGTTTCAGGGTTTGCCATGCAAACACGACCGGGGATCAGAGTCCACAGGATCCTTTTGCTCTCCTGAACCAGTGATAGCAACAGAGCCTGGGGGAGTCCAAGAGGGAATCTGGGGCCAGTTTAGTCCTCTAAAGTGAACTAGTTTCATAAAATGTCTTATGGCAATTTTACACAAGTGCGTTAGCTCTGACAATACTTCACGGTGCTTTGTTACTGCAAAGAGAGGAGCACAGCGACTCTGCGGCTTCAATTATGCCAGCAACAGCTGGTTTAAAATTAACCTACATCGTACATCAGTGTTGACAACACTGTGGTTTTACCTCTTTTAGTGCAACTTTGTTCCTGTGACCTAACAGCTGCCACCCCGGGCCACACTCCAGGACAGACTTCGTGTCTCACAGCAGGTGACCTGCACACCCAGACTCACCAGTTGCTCTAGGAGTTGCAAGTCAGGTATTAGACAGTTTCTCAAGGACATGTTTCCTCCTTATGCCCTGAATTACAAATCTTGTGGGGGTCAAAGAGACAATGGCAGAAGAGATGTGGTCATTCCTAATTCTTCTAGTCTAGATTGTTCAAGGAGATGGAGATGGGACGTAGGTGACTTTGACCACCAGCTCTCATTGCTAGCAAGTGACACCCTCTGTCTGCCACATCTTCAGCAGGCATTTACTCAGGTTAATGACCTCAGCCAGCAATTATCAATCGCTAACATGCCAGACAAGTATCCTGATTTCCCTGGCTGGTAGCCTGAGCACATGGCCCATGGTTGAGTAAGCAGAGAATGAACCCTTCTCCTGTGTCTAACACAGCCAGGACTAAACCTCACAGAGGGCAGCTTACAGAACCATCTTCTTTCGGGTTACAGGTTCATTTTCCAGTGCAGTTCCTTTCCAGTCTTTTCCTAAGAAGAATTTACATGTGTCCTTAATCCTTATTCTCATCGCAATTTTGAAGCAACCTGTGGGTTCTTACCTGCATTACCAGGCACCTCTGTGAACAAAAGCACAGAATGGATCACTACGCACATGCAGCGGGAGCCCACAGGACTTGGAGTATCATTTATGAGGAGTGAAGTAAGTAACCGGTCTCAGGAACGTAATAGCCACATTAAATTGTTGCAGCCGATGTGTTTCTATTTCTAATCAGAAAGTTTCTACAGTTGCTTTAAAATCTGCTTTTGTTTCTGAAAAAAAATTATTTTTCTTGAACACTAGCTCCTGAAAAACAAGCAGACTATGAAACAGTCTAGGAATTTAAGCAAATCTAAAGGCAACGCTCCCGAATGCTCCTGAAAAAAAGAGAGATGTGCACACTGTTGCTGACAAACTGCACATACTGAGGAACAGGAGAGCTCTAACCAACAGGAACATAATTGCTCATGAGCATGTATTCACTGCATATATTACATATTGCCATGGTTAGGAAGAGGCAGGCAGGCAGGCAGCATCTCCCTACTCCTTACCTGTTAGTGATTGCAATGTTCTTGTCTCTCATGGCATAGAGCAGCGTCGCTATGCAGTAAAGGGTCTCAGTAACGTCCACAACACAGAGGGTAGAGCAGGGTTGTTGCAGACATGCCATCAGCTTTTGGATGTCGCTGACGCCGTCGGAGAAAAGCACCATGACTGCAATTATGGCCCACATCTTCTCAGGCTGGTATAGGCAACGAGAAAGAGTGAGCAAAAAGCTTTGAGCCTTTAGGAACAGGGAAACCCTGCTTCAATGCTTGAAAAAACACTTATGCCACAATGAATAGTTAAATTCTTTTCATTCACCCTGAATAGTACCAAATAACACCCTAAACGGAAAACCTTTAGACGCAGGAGGGCAGATAGGACCTCAAAGCACCAGCAGTTGTTAAACCTGTACAATACACCAGTTAACTGTTAAACCTACCTCCGTCCTGCTCTGTAAATGTGACAGTTTGTTGACAACACAGACTTCAGCCTTTGAGAAGAGGTGATGACTCTTCAAACACCAGAGAACCACACCGGGATCTACCTTCTGTCTGGTGGGTATGGTAGACACGCACCTGTGCAGAATGGGAACAGCAACATTTGCAAAGAAGCCTTATCAAGTGAGTTTACTCTCCAAGTAAACAATGCCTTCTCCAAAGTACCATCCGTCAGGCTGCAGCTAAGTGTAACTACACCTTGCTGTGTGCCCCCCAGATTTGATCAGATGCATTCAGTGGTGTGGCCGCAAGGTGCTGAACTTGGATTTCCAACCCATTCTTGTGCAGAGAGCCACTTAAACACGTAATTCTCAGTTCTGTTACACAGACATCTGCTTAAAGACTTTGCTGCATCAAGCCTTTTGTCTGCAAGTTCCTTCTGGCTGTCTCAAAGCAAAGTCTCCTTCCAGAAGACAGATCCACCTTGCTGTTAACCCTTTTTGACTCTTCTGTTGGCACCATCTCACTGCCACACAAAATTACCCTCTAGACTACAGAGATCTGAACAGAGCACTTGCTTTTATCAGAGACCCTGTCTTGGGCTTGGGCTTGCTGCTGAGCTGTGACTGATAAGTCAGTGTGGGTCTAGGAAAGCAGCCTTTCAGGAAAGGACAAGAAGAAAATACATTGGAGATGGAGGGACCAGGAAGAAGAGCTCAAACCTCACACCCTCCATGAGTAACTTGTATTTTAGCTAAATCCAGGAGATGCTGAGCCTCTCTGAGACCATGGCTGATGAGGCTGACATGACAGATCCTGAAACATAAAGGGATGCTAAAAGGGACACTTAAATTGAGTCTCACTCTCTCCAGTGTAGTCACCCTGCAGTAAGCAACCATGTAACATCTTCTCCCAAGTTTGTTGTCGGGTGCCGGAAGGCAGCAAGCAACAGGACAGCCCAGCCTTTTTTGATTTTCTCATCTAATGCTTGACTTGGAGTTCCTGTCAGCTTCTTTCAACTGCTGTACCCAACCTGGCTGTGCTTTGACATACAGGTCCATCTCTGAAACCCTCCTTTGGGCCTCCAAATCCAGCAGCTGCTTGCTGACACCCTCTTGCTCAGGGTCTCCTCACCTCTTTGCTCTTTTGGTGCAACAATCATGTCCCTGCCCTCCAAGAGGCAACACCATCCACGTCAAAAGGCCACCCCCAAGACTGTTCCTCTGCCCTCTCCTCCCAGTCCATGTTCAGCTTCTCCATCTCCTCAGACATTAGTACAAGGCTATCCCTGCCCCAGGCTTTGCAGCCTCCCCCTCACTTATCCATCACTTCTCACTTGCTGTCAAAATCATGGAAACTGCAAAAGAGACTTTGGAAGCCAACTGCTCAAAGCAGGGATGACTTCAAGGTTTGCTTGTTTGTCCAGCTGAGGTCTGAGCATCTCCAAGGATGGATATTTCCCACCTCTCTGGGCCAGTGTTTGACCACTCTCCTAATATCTAACTGGATTTCCTATGCCGGAACTTGTGCCCGTTGCCTCTTGTCCTCTCGCTGTGCACTTCCAAGAAGAGCCTGGCATCATGCTCTCTACAGCCTCTCATTAGACAGGGGAAGACGGCAATTAGATCCCCTTTCCACCGTCTCTTCTCCAGATTTCATCCTCCACTTGTACATCACCTCGAGTGCTGTGTTCAGTGTTGGGCCCCTCACTACCAGAAAGACCTTGAGGGGCTGGAGCGAGTCCAGAGAAGGGCAACGAAGGTGGGGAAGGGTCTGGAGCACAAGTCTGGTGGGGAGCGGCTGAGGGAGCTGGGGGGGTTTGGTCTGGAGAAGAGGAGGCTGAGGGGAGACCTGATCACTCTCTACAACCACCTGAAAGGAGGGGGTAGCCAGGTGGGGGTCGGTCTCTTCTCCCAAGTAACCAGCGATAGGACGAGAGGAAATGACCTCAAGTTGCACCAGGGGAGGTTTAGATTGGTTATTGGGAAAAATTTCTTCACGGAAAGGGTTGTCAAGGTGGTAGAGGGAAGTGGTTGGGTCACCATGGCTGGAGGTATTTAAAAGCCGTGTAGATGTGGCACTTAAGGGACATGGTTTAGTGGTGGGCTTGGCAGTGTTAGGTTAACGGTTGGACTCAATGATCTTAAAGGGCTTTTCCAACCTAAGTGAGCCTACGATCATGTGCCCCAAACAGAACAAGGAAGAGGAAAGGGAAAGTTTTTTTACCTATTTCTAGAAGCCTACTGGTGATTTCTACTGTTAAAACAATTTCTCCTTCCTCATCTTCCTGTCCATCTCCCACCTGTTTAGAAGACAAACCCATTTCTCTCCTGGCAATTCACAGACAAAATGGAAGAAGACCCAAAGAAAGGAAGGGCAGAGGACCTACAGGTACAAAGTCAAGTGCTGAAGTGGACTCACCTGATCAGCCCCAACACACATCCTTCCTCCTCCTTTGTTATGGTGAAATCCTGCAAGACCTGTTCAACTTTGTGCAGGGCAGTGTCCTCCTTCATTAGGTACCGATGGTACAGCTTCTTCCAAGGAATGAACTAGAATGTGAAGCACATACCATCATCTTTCATCTCACAGCACTGGAAAATAGGTTTCTTCTGGCAATAAGCTAATCGATGTGACTTCCAAAGAACACCCAGAGTTTAAAAAGTCCCTGTAGCTTGATGGAAATGGTACCTAACATGAGATGGGGAAGGACAGAGGAAACAGAGGAGAGAAAGACTTGTTCCTCATAGCCTGCAAACATGTCTATAAAAGGCTGTTTTTTCTAGAATGACGGGAACAGGGTGATGCTGGTTTAGTTTCAAATGTCAAAGCATTAAATGAATGAGGATACTTTCAGCACTATTGCACAGATCTGCTTTAAGCGGGGTCTGAGTGCTTAAAATACCCTGTGCCCATGAAGCCCTACCCTCCCACAGCCTGCTGCTTGGACTTTTTCAGTGAAAACAGAGAGAACGCTGCCTTTTAGGCTGCGTTAAGGAACAAAGAGCAGATTTGGGAGAGGACTTGAGCACACTGGGCATTCAATGCATGCATTTTCTATACATCTCTCTAGCGCTTCAGGCTCAAAGCATGCATGCTGTGCTGATAAAGCACAGTGCAGGACACCTCCTGCATTGTGTCTAGCCTTACCCATCCAAATTTATTGGAAGGGCATGAGCAAGAACTTGGATCCCCACAAAAATTTGGGCTGTGATCAGTCCCCCATCACTCTGAGTCAGGCTGAGACAGCCTCTCCGTACAAGCTGAGCGTTTCCAGCGTGAACGGTGAGCAAGTCTAGCGGTGCCAGCTGTCTCCGAGCCACCTTTAATTGAAAGCAGAGATCCTCGCTGCGGCCAAAATTACTGCCAGTGGGTTCACGACTGTTTGTACTGTGATGGCCTTGACTGTGGGTGAACCAAGCTCCATAAAAACAGAGTTAAAGGCTCTTCCTCTAAACGCCTTTGACTACAAGAGACACCACAGACACACGCACACAGGCTGGGGGACAGTGATGTGCACCAGCCACGAGAGGACACTGCTCAGTCTGGTACCCAGAATTTCCTGCATGATCCCTGTCAGAAAAAAAGGCTGCAAGGAAAACAGTGAACGAGGATTTTGTGGAGTCTTACAGGATGCTCTCTTTCCATGTACGGGAAGAACGCATCAAGAGAAGTTACCCCAATTTTGATCTTGTGATACAGGTTGGCATCTGAAGATGCCACTGTGGTCCAGAAGACCAAAAAATGACAAAAGAGCTCATAAGAAACGATGTGGGCATTAGGGTGCAATAAGGAGATTTAAAGGAACAAAGAGAGCCAGACACAGCATGGATGCTCCTACAGCAACATATGCGGCCACAAGACTAAGACAGAACTGAGCAGGAGGAGAATTTGAGACAGGCTCAAACCAGTATCACAGCAGTCCTTACCAGTGGATCACTGACTATCTCCCTCCAGCAGCGGCACACCAGGCTCAGGTTCTGATACAGATCAGTCACTGGTAGGAAGGCAAAGATGTTCCTAAGAACTTCAACAGGCAGCTTGTCAATACTTCCCTGAGGCACTTCCCAGTTCCGAGTCCCCAGGAGTCCGTAGTGTGCATCAGGGACTGGTTCAATTTCCATATCATCGAGTTCCTGCTTGATCTGGCTGTGTTCTGGATGAACCACCATTGGCTGCTTCTCAGGCTCACCCCACAAATTGTGCTTTCGCTTGTGAACGTCCGCAGCTGCACAGGAGAGAGGACGTTTTCTGGAGCTTTCCCTGGCAGCTGGTACAAGGTCCTCATCCTCCAGAAAGGAGCAAGAATCACCGTTGATCTCCATCACAGGGGAGACATTGCTAAAGGCATCATCACCTTCACTGAAGATGGGATCCAGTAGCTCTTCTTTGATTTTACTATTCTTCATCCCACCAGCACCTACTTTTTTTGTCTGAGAGATCCTGAAGTAATCAGTGAGGTTCTTCTGCTGACCTTGGCCTGCAGAAAGAGGAAAAACAGGAGTGAAGTCAACAGAAACAAGTGCAAAGCACACTGCTCCTAACTGAGCTAACATGGAGACCAGAGATTGTGTAAGGTGGTAGTTACTCCTCACAGATGTATGAGTTTACTACAGGTGAACTGTCCTGCTTCCTATTGCTTCTCTGGCAACCTACAGAAGTCAACAGAACAACATTCATCTCTTCGCACTGTCCACATAATCTGGGCACTGTCAAAGTACGACTGACACTTCCACTAGCTCCTGGAAAAAGATCTAATCTGCTTAACAACCTCTCAGCTCAACAATCCTTAGCTAACAACACGGCAGACGTGCGTTAAGCAGAAACAAGTCTGTACAATAAATTTCATAGGAGATATTTCCACTAGCCAAAGAAAGAGAAATAGGAAGGAAGCAAAATGTGAGACTTGAGTTGCTACGGTGTACCTCAGGCTGAGGTTGGGCTCCCAGGGGTTATTTATTGTTCTTAACCCAGTGAATGAGAAGCACGCTAAGATTTTAGAAAAGCTTCAGGGTTTAAGTACTGCTCTGCACCATGAGAAGGTCACAGTACCAAGCCTCCAGCAGGCTGTTCCTACTACAGTATAGGAGAGATGAATGCCTTTAAGAGGATAAACCACCATTTCTTGCCAGATACTTCCTGGCTGCAACATCAAAAAGCGCTGGAGATGATAAAGGAAACCGAAACTTGGCAAGAGACTGCTCTCAGCAGCCTCTCCTTTCTCTGACAGCCACACAGTCCATGTAGCACACAGTCTAAAGTTATCAGCACTGATAGGATTCTCCGTTCTGCTCCTAGCCTGAAAAACATCCTCATGCTTAGCTAAGAAGCAACTCAAGAAGAAAAAAAATCACAAGCAGCTACTGCTGATTTTAATGCATTTTATTTCTGCATGCTCATGAAGACATAGCTTAAAGAGGTCTGATTTGCAAGACACTTGCTGCTTAAAAAGAACAGCTTCCCTGCTAATGTTTGAGTCCAATACCCCAAAACCTACGGCATCTAAGATTACTGGACTTTTTAAAGTGAGACATTCAAAGATACCACTGATATGAAAACGCAAAAGAAAAGTATGTCTACGAGCACAGAGTCTAGGACTGGTGTCTTGTCCTGGCTCACAGGACAACAGCAGATGTTCTCTGTGAAGTGAATCAGCTTACACCAAGGTACAGAGAGATTCTCAAGCCTCGCAGGGAAACACCGAAATGCTCCTGAATCTCACCTTCCAAAGTGACCAAGGCACTCAGGAGCTCAGGAATAATTCAGGATGTTTTTTCTTTGCTTTCTACCTGTCTCCTTGACCACACATGTGTGTAGCATCTCTTGTCTCTACACAGGTTTTGAGGCTGGGCCTTTAACCCTGCACCATGAGCTATCTGAAAACAGCTCCTTCACCTTCAGTTGGAGCCCTGAGCCTTTTGTGTGTAGATTATCTCAAAGTCTTACCAATCCTCAAAAGCCCTCTAAAGCCTGGCACTGTTTGGCACTCTATGAGTCGTGTATCACAATGTTTCCCATTCCCAGGAAAGTCAAAGATCATTAATACCTCAACAACACTTTTGCAGTCCTATATAACTAGACACCTCATTATTATTTGATAATCATCCTAAAGAGCATCTAGAAGCAGGAGTCACATCATTAATAGCACCTCATTGCAGAGGCTGTAGCGTTCCTCAGGGACAGCTGCTGTTCTCCCCAGGTAGTCTCCGACAGCTCAATGATAGAGACATGGAGGCACTTCTGGTGCGAGGAGAGGCTAAACACACATGTGAAGGCAAACTCACTCCCCCATAGAGGGAAGGAGCCAAGGTATTTCTTCTTCTTGCCACTTGGCTTTGCAGAAGCAGAGATTAAGCCCAATTTTGCCATGCACCACTCAAAACTAACCCATTTCTTCCACTTGCACTTACCTCACCTGGCATTACTTTCCTATTAGCACAAGTTCGATGATGGATTACACAACGCCCTTTTGTTCCACACTGTATAAGCATTTTTCTCCCCCAAATCCCTCAGCCTTCAAAGTATTCGCAATCAGTGTACCTCCTTGATGTCTCCGTGTCCAGTGGGTGGGATGGAGGCCCCTGTTTACATCTCTTCTACTTTGTCTTTGACTCAACGGCTGCGTCAGGGAGGACGAACCTTCTGCGCTCTGTGCGAGAGCTTCGCAGTCATCGGCTGTGAGGTGCACTTTTTTGTATCGCTTCGCTCCTTTGCCAACATGCAAAAAAAAGACCCCAAAACCAAATTATTGGCAAACAACAATATACAATCCGTGCCTTTAACAGAAGCATAAATAGAGTTTCTTTTCAGAAATTTTATAGGACAGTCCCAGTGTTTCAGTCAGGAGTTTTTCCAAATTAATTACACCAGAAGCTTGTACAATGCTCTGGTGAGGTGCTAAGAAGGACAATGCGTTGTGTCAGGGCAACACATCTGTAGTCACTGCAACAGCAACTTCACCTCAGGTCCCCACTCCTGTGTTGTATGAGGCTTCAGAACAAAAGAGGACAACAAAAAATCAGAATCCTTGCAAGATTTGTGGCTTTCTCTACGATATTGTAAGGTGGAGGAAGCAGATACAAGCATTTGTGTGAATGCAAAGTATCATTTAGAGGATGCTGAGGAAGCCTGCAGAGGCTGAAATGCACAACCCCCGAGAGAGACAACAGTGATTTGCCCGGGAAACGTCAGAGCCGACATTCAAACACACAAACTTGAGCTTCTCACAAACAAAAGGTCCTCCATTACGGAGGAAACACAACCCACAGCTCTTCCCCACGAGAAGGACGGTTAAGAAGCAGCACAAGAGTTATTTTAAGGAAACCTTACCTGAAATCTCCATGAGCTCCTCTCTTCCGTACACGGGACGGCCAGCAGAAAAAGTATGAACAATGCAACTTGCTTCTACCAAAAATGCTCACGAGAAACCCAAAACCACGGCACAGGATGGACTTCTGACCAACAGCAGAACTATCAGCAAAACAATGCTCATGCGGTTTCACTTTTACTTTATTGCTACACTGTGCTCTGGAGGATAAACTCCTCTAACATTTATGGCAGCCACAAAAGTAATCGACTGATCCCGTACAGCAGGATCCAAGGGCCAGTTTGTTTCATTACGCTGCTTCCTCCTTTCATCCACGTCAGCTCGACAGACCTGACACCGCCGATCAGCACCCACTGATCTCCCCCAGGGAGGCTGTTTTCTAACATCTCGTGTTCCTCAAAACACGGCAAATGAGGCAAGCAGAAGGAAAAAAGCAATGCAAGACAGTCCTGTGGCACTTAGGGACACGGTTTAGCAGTGGACTTGGCAGTGTTAGGTTTATGGTTGGACTTGATGTTACTAAGGGTCTTTTCCAACATAAATGAATTTATGATTCTATTCTATGATCCTACTTGAAAATGGTATTTCTCACTTGAAACTGAAAAGTTTTTTGGATTAAACAGCATGAAACATTGAAGCTTGAAGCGCCCCAATTCTCTTAAGCACACGGTCCTGGCAAACATCAGAGCCAAGGTACCGGCTCTGTGCCCATTCCTGGAGCTGTCGGACACAGAAAGGTCTCACATGAGATCAGATGTAGGATTAGGGGCAAAAACTCTGCTCCTGCACCCCAGGACGGCAAAACCCCCTCATGCCAGGACCGTGAGGGAGGATTCAAGTCCAGAAACCCAACACAAGAAGATGACCCGCTCAGGCTTCACCTGCATTCATCTTTTCCCCCTTTTCCCAAGATTTTCCATTGGTGCCAGCAGCAGAGACACAAGTGCTGAGCAAGGGTTGTGTCGCAGGGCCTCGTCACGGTTTATGGCTTCGATCACGTAAGGAACGTGACCGGGGAGCGGAGCTTGTCAGCCACGAGAAGACACTTCACCTGC